TGAGGGCACCAGGAACTCCTGGGCTCGCAGCCTCAGGCCCAAACCTCCGTGTCTTTCAGTTTTCCCATCTGCAGAGTGAGATCCCAAGTGCAATGCATGCAGCCCCACTCCGATCCCAGCCCTCTTCATCTCTCTCAGTGCTGATGGCCTTATCGTCAAGAGGTTTCTTTCCTGCCAGGCTGGGAGTTCAGCCTTCTTGCTTCTTGAGAAAGACCCTCTGGGTGTGAAGCATTCCCCAGGTTGGGCTGTGTGTTTGGATGGTTGCTAAGCTTGTCTCATGGCTGGTTAGTGCCTGATGAGATCACGGTGCCATTTAGCATTTCGTGGCTAATTCAGGATTATTCATTAACAATCAAGAACAAGCAGGTGTATGCATAGGCTGCCTTTGTGAGAAAGGACATGAGTTATTCAGGGGAACTGAAGTGCTGGTTGAGCTGAGGAGCTTCAGGGGTGGTGGAGATGGAGATTTGTTTTCTGAACAGCTGAATCTAAAGCTTTTTATGCTATTAACCCTGCAAATGTGGTGGTTTTCAGTAATGACAGTGAAGGTAGCCTTCTGTCCTATAATAAGAGAGTGCAAGGAAGGAATTAGTGGAAAAACACATCTTCATATTGGTGTGTGGTAGTGCAAAGGTATGGGAAAGCAGCACAGGGTCTGCTCGTGTCTGCAGCATCCCTGTTCAACAAAGGTTCCTGATGATGGTGCAAAGCTCTGCCCTCGTAATGCTCTCTGGTGGTCCCACAACTGAGGCCACGTTCGGGTGTTGCTGCTTTAGATCCTCATCCAGGCAACTGAGACCCGTGTCTCCAGGCTGATTTAGAGGTGTGACTGCAAACTCAAGGTCCACGTGCTGCCTGCCCAGGGAAAATTGAATTTGTGATGTGTCAGGAAGAAAAAGAAAAAAAGAAAAGGTTGACTTTTGCTGGAAGAGAAATACGGGATTAGTGACCAAAACTTGATCATTCTCTGCTCTAAGTGGAATTTCTCAGCATTCAAGTTCTGGTCGTTTTATTTTCCAATAAAACAGCTTAAGCACTTTCGAGGAAATCGGATGCTTTCTGTGAGCTTTTTTTTTTTTTTCTTTTGCTTAATTGAAAGCACAATCTTCCATTGGAAAAATGATTTAATGGACATTTCTCAGGCTGTGCGAGCAGGGATTTTAGTGGGAATAGTTCCTCCTGCAGGGAGGAAGCCTTGTGGAAGAAACATGGAGCAAAACAGAGCTTGGGGAATGCAGAACAGCCAAGCTGTAACAGAGATGGTAGTTACAGCTCTGCAAGTGAAACGTGGAGAGTGCCAAGAGCTGGCACCAAGGGGAGTGGATGGAACCAAGGGGAATGGATGGAATGATGCTTTTCCTGTTCCTTCCCCAAGACGTGTGCCCTGACAGAGAGGCATCCCTCCAGGCGGTTGTGTCTCCCTTGGGACAAACTGCTGTCTTCATGGGGCTAAATTGTCCCAACGTTGTTTCTTCTGGGCTTATTGGGAGTTGTAAGTCATAGAATGGTTGAGTTGGAAGGGATGTGTAAAGGTCACCTTGTGCCTGGGTCAGTTCCTGGCCTGGAGAGCTGGAGGCCATACCATGAGCATCCAATGCAGCTTTATGCCCATTTCCCCAGGACCACAGTGTGCAGACTTGCATTTGATGGCGTTTGGAGGTGGGAGGTGCTTGGCTTTCCATGCTGTTGGGTGAATCCTCGCTGCTTTTCACCATTACTTCTTCCTTTGTCAGTAAGGACTTCAAAACCTGTTTTCACTCCAGCCCAGGGACCAATGCCCAGCACTGCCAACTCCCACGTGAAGTCTCACTGCTCCTCCTAATGCAGGCAGTCAGTTCACTTAACTCTATGTCTTGAAAATATGAAGGAGGAGTAAAGTAGAAGGGCTTTTGGGGGCAATGTGCAGGAGGGGAAGAAAAATGTGTGCTCAGATCCTGCTAAGGGCTGAGTGTCTGGCTTTGAAAGGGATTCCAGCACCACCCGTGTTTTCCTTCCTCCACAATCACATCCACCATGCCCTGCTTTGAAGTTTAAATAAACTTAAAAGCATATCTGCTGAAATATGTTACCCACGCTGCTCCGCTGGCCTGCCTTGTGGTTCCTGATGGGGAAACACACGTGGAAGGGAAGGGGAACGCTGCTGCTCTGCATCCAATCTGCACAGAGACAGATGCTGAAACAAACGCAAAGGAAATACCAATATTCCAATGCCTTTTCTTCACCCAGTCTGTTTATGTAAACCCAATGTATGTGTGTTTTCCTAACAGTAAGGTTAACCTTCCCCCTCCCCCCCCCCCCCTTTTTGACAAATAGTAAATTCACTAAGAAATGTGGCAGAGAAATGAGTCACAAATACCAGGCTAATTTGGCAAGTACGTTTGGGCCAGAGAAGGACCTTTTTTTTTATGTAGAAATGTTTTGCTTAGACATTTTTCAAAATAAACCTTTTTGACCCTTCATTCTGGATTGGGAATGTTCAAAAATTGACAGCGACTCGAGGAATACAATGTCCTGCTTAACCAAAAGAGTAAACCAATTAGCAGAACGAAACAAAGTGGAACGCAGTGTTAAACTGGAGAAAACATTGCCATGACCCAAAGCATTCTGTTTAGATTTATTGGTTTTTTTCCTGAAAACTCTGTGCTGTTTGTGACCCACACTGAGTGCTCCTCTTGCTTTGCTTCCCTTCCTGCTGCTATTCTCACCACCATGGCCACAAACCCGTTTTGTTCTGCCCTCAAATTATCCACACGCGCTCTGCCTTTGCTCTCTTGTTTCCCCAGGGGAAGCCAGCTTGCTCTCACCTCCATGCTTCAGCTCCTTTCCTGCTTGGCGAAACCCATTCTGAGGACAAGTAATGGTTTAAAAAACAAAAATACAGCATTCATAATGATCCATCCCTACTGGTGCTGCCTCTTATTGGAGCACTGGATGCTTGCTGAGTGTCTTAGAGCACCCCTCGCTCCGTAGCTCCCTGCTGGCTCCAGGAGGATCGTTTTGGAGCTGTGCTTTGGCACCAGGCTCCCTCCAGGCCCCACCGAATTTGCACCCAGACCCACCCAGCCCCACGCCTGCTTTAAATCATCCGCAGCCCATGTAAGTGGTGGTGATGTCAGCCTGCCCATCCCATGCACCTTTTAAGCATAATCCCACCCCAATTTCCCTCCCAGCCAGTTCCCACACCCCAGGGTGGGGTGAGACTGCGAGCACCTTGGGAGCAGAGGGGTCGGAGCTGGCACCCACATCCTGCATGGCAAAGGACCCTCAGTCCCAAAGCCATCTGGTCTTCCCGTTGCTCCAACTGCCTGAAAACAGCTTAACGTTGCCTTATAAATGAGCTAATAGACTGTGGTCCTATAAAACACAGAGCTCTGCTCCAAGGGAATCCCGGACCAAACCCCTCTGGGGCTTTGGCAGCTCTGTAGGCTTTGTGCAAGTAACTGTGAGGACCACCTGAGTGCCTCAGATGGGCACAGATCTCAGGGAGCCTCAAGCTCTGTGTCCTCCCAGCATCCCAGGGCCAGCTTTGTGCAGCCCAGCCTGCGGGAAGGACTTTTGCTGTGGTTTATTGGCAGCTCCTCAAAGCCTTATAATGAAGAAAGTGCTTGTGGTTCAATCCAAATGAGTTTTGTTGGTTTTTCTCAGCTAGCGAAAAGTCTGAAGGGTTTCTTATCTTGCTTCAGACGGTGGGGAATTTTTTATTTTTTTCTTCCCATTCTGGTTCAAACTGAATTTAAAAGATGGAAATTGGGAAGTGGCAATCTATTCGAATCAGAAAATCATAGGCATGGGTGGAACCAGCACAGGGATGGCTCACCCACACATGTCCAGAAAGGACTATTTTTACTCCCTCGGGATCATCCCGTTTCCTTTTGGAACAATTTGCAGGGCCAGTGTGAGCTCGTGCATTTTGCTATTTGCACATCCCTGACAATGTCCTGGGTAAAAAAAACCTGTAGGCAGATGTACCTGAGGTGGCCAGGTGGTGTTTTCCCCCTTATTTCCCCTCCATAGGGCCATGCTGAGAGCCCACTGCATGCCAGTGGAGGGCAATTACTCAGTGCTGCCCTGCACAGAGCCTTTTTCAGGTGATTTTTCTACTTTTTCTGGCCCTTCCTGTTTTTCTGGCAAGGCTGGCAGGAGAAGAGCACATTGCTGCTGTGGTTGGGAGCTACCAGGAAGATGAAAACAAGGGAAACTTTTACCGGTGGCTCGAGGCATCCAAAGAAAATCATTTTTGCAGTGATTTGGAGCCACAGATATGTTTGGGAGCGGGCACCTCAATAGTGCCATTCATTGGGAGCCCACGGCCCTTCATGGGGACGGGATCCTCAGTGCGTGAGGAGGTGACATGGGCGAGGAGCAGCCGCCCTTGGCAATCCCTTGTCAAAGCAGGGAGGGACTGCTGTAAGGGCCTGCTAAAGCCGGCACGGTGCCTCTCCTGATGTTTCTCTGCATTCTCAGCCACCGAAGGTGGAAAAGCTGGGAGGTGGATGTGTGCTCCATTGGGACCAAAAGAATGTTTGTTTGCACCAAGCGGAGCTGAACAGCCAGAATGGTCCCACCCAGAGCATCCTTGGTGTCCTCAGTGGCACATCCCAACACTCAGATCCCAGCTCTACCCCAGGATGTGCCGTCACCCGTTTGCAATGGGGTTTGAGCAGGGATGTGTCCCAGTGGGATGACCTGTGGGATCTTCAGCTTCTGCAGGCGCATGGAATCAGCACCTGGCAGGAATGGAGCTGAGGATTTGCTGAACTGGGAATGGAAACAATCTGCAGTTCAAGCAAAAGGAGGGGGGAGACAAGAGGGGTCCTAGGAAAAACAAATATTTTCAAATAAGTTTTCTGTTAGAAATGCCTAAGCTGGATGTTTCTCCTCTCGCAAGGCTCAGGCATATTCTTTTCAAAGGAAGCCTGAAACCTTTTAAAGGGAAATATCAAAGGAATCATTTCTTTTCACTGACATTTTTCATTAAAACAAAATATATTTCTTGACAGGCCACGAAGTGACCCAGATCATCAATCCAAATGCAAACGGGCGTTCAGGAGAGCTTGCAAACATATCAAAGAATTCTGGGCCAGGCCTTTCCTTTCCATTTTCACTGCAGCTGCTGCCACTGCTGTCAAGAAACATGAAAACAGGGCAGGGAAAATGCCTCCTTGTGCGTGGTTTTGGCGTGAAGGCTTAGAAGAGCTGATTTTGTGCTTACACCCCGTCCCTGGGCTGTTTGAAACATAAGGTATGTATACATGTATAGCATTGAGCACAAGGCAGGTCATCAGGCCATGTCACTTGTCTCCCTTCCCAACCATTTGTCTCTGGGGTCCCAATTGCTTGTGTTATTCCAAAAATGCTGATGATGCCTGTGCTCTGGATGGATGGAAAGCTTCTCCTGGCAGTTGCCTTCCCAGCGCTTTGTTAGCCATGCTGGTGATGTTGCAGTAGCAATTAGCAGCTCATATCAGACCAGGGGCCCCACAGCACTGGGACCATCTAGGCAACAACCTAATCCCTATTACCTGTAAGCAACCATGTGAAATAATTCTTGCAAGGAAGGAGGAGATCTTTGTTCACTAAACTCATGCCAGTTCATCCACTGACCCTTGCAGGGACATGAGAGAATCATTCCTGGAACATGATTCCAAATTGCTTAAGAAACTAAGCCCTAAATCCCACTAGCATTAAAGGTTCTTTGGCACTTGGGAACATGGTACCCTTCAGGGGCCAAAAAGAGCCGCAGTTTTCAGCTGTGTCCTCCAATCTTAACAAAGGATTCCCTCTGTGAGCATCATGGCCAAAGCTCATCTGCTGTGCACCAGGAGATGCGTCTTCCCAGGACTCGATGGCATAGGAATTAACCTCCCAGAAAAATGCTTTTGTCTTTTTGCACTCAGCTTTTCAACAACAACAACAATATATATGTATGTATATGAAAAACAATATGGGAAAAGTGATAGATTTTACCATGGGAAAAAGTTGTACTTTCCAGAGCAGACTGGAGATATTATTGGCACAGCTGCTCAGGCAGTGGGGGGTCACTGTCCCTGGGGGTGTTGCAGAGCTGTAGGGATGTGGCACTGAGGGATGTGGGCAGTGGGCACGGTGTGGTGGATTGGAGTGGGATTGGGGATCTTTGTGGTGTTGGCTTTTGCTGTTCTTCCAAGGTGTTCAAGCCTGGCGGCACAGGGGATGTGACCACCCTAAAGCCCTTCCTGGGATGCACAGGGATGTGAGCAGCGGCTGCAGGACGCTCAGTTCCCAGCCACGCTGAGCACTGAGAGGAGCTGCCCTTATCTCGGGGTATTAGCACTGCTATAAACCTGATAATGCTGGAGTTTCCCATAAAAATCCAAGAGGTGGGACTCCCATGGAACGGAGGCTTCTCAGCATCGGTGCCACATATGGAAGTAGTGCAGAGGCTGCGTTTTCAGCCGCCACGACTGCAATTTGAAGAGAAAAAGAGAGGTATTCCAACTATTTTGTCTTTAAAAGGAAATACTGAATAGCTTATGGATAAGACATTAACAGGCCTAGACCACTCGTGGTCATTAAAGAGCCCTCGGCTCTATTTGCGGGAGGGGAACCGGGGGTGTTAGTCTTGGACTGCAGCCCAAATTCCAGTTTGAGGAAACACATCCCGACTACCTAAAATTCCACCTGCAATTGGACTCAGGTACCAGGCCTCTGGTCCCTGCAATCCGTGGGTCTGAAGTATTGGGTACCTCTGTACATCATCAGTGCTACCAGGCAGAAGAGCTGTCTCAGTGCACCCAGTTCAGCTCGGGGTCTGGAGTTCATCCCCCTGCAGGGAAGTAAACCCCTCACTTTGGGATAGGAATTATGGTTCTGACCTCAAGCCTTTATCTTTAAAGGGAAAAGAGTTCTTCAGAGGTGGGATGGGTCCTGTGGTGGAAAGCTGTGATGCTTCATAATCAGAAACACAGGGAGCAAAGGGATAGTGGGGTCCAGCACACGTCTGGTCCAGCATCCCTGCTCCAACTTCAGCTTTCTAATGATGTGCTGCCCCTGCATCAGCCCTCACCTGCAGTTCTGCACAGCATTTGGTGTCTCTTCTAGGGAGAGTGCCATCAACAACCCTCATCCTCGTTTTTGCAGTAAATATCCCCTCCCATCCTGCAGCCCTGCCTGCTCTGTGCAGCCACTGCTGCATTCCAGCCCAAAGGTGGCCCCACTGCGGCCGTAGGAAAAGTGATGTGCACAGAGCAAGAATCCCTCCAGATGAAAGGTGGTGATAGTTGCAGACAGTTATTTTATCTTCCTCTGACTTTAAAGATAACACGCTACCAGCATGTGAAAGGGCATCATTTTTCTTCTCTGGGAGTTATGATCTTGGTCCTGCTCCACCCCACGGATTACAGCTTTGCAGTGGAGCTGTTGTTGCTTAAAAAGCAGATCAAATCACACATTCCCACCCTTTTTTTCACTTCATCTTCTCTGCGCCCCAGAACTGGCATGCTGATGGCAGAGAGCAGCTTACCTTAGCAACCGCTCCCACAAATAGGGCTCAGGTTCCCAAGTGCACAGGGAATTGCAAATTGGAGAGAAACTGTGTGTTCAGATATAAATATTTTTCACACCTTGGCAAAGCATGTTTCTCCTTGACTTTCTGAGTGATGATGTTCTCTGCTATCACAGCTTTGCATTTCATGCTGGCCCTGGAGGACTTTTCCTGCCCATCTCAGCGCTAACGCTGCAAACAGCAATTGTGATGTGAGAAGGGGCTGCTCAGAACTGCATGGCAGTACATTGGAGCATCCAAGGAACAAATCTGGTTATGGCCCTGGCACGTTTAATCCCAGGCACATCCCTTGTTTGATGGGGCAAATCTTAAATGAGGAACTTCACTGATGAAGACAATTGTGGGGCTGGAAGCAAGGAGTGATTTGTTGGCTCAGATGAGACTTGAGGCAAAATCCACACCGATTCTGAGGATGCCAGAATTTCACTTGAAGCTTTTTCTGGCATCCCAAGCAGAGCACACGGTGGCTGAGCTGAAGGAACTGCTCCACAGGAGCCTCCAACCCAGCCCAACATCATCCCAACCCAACCCAATATTATCAGTTGTAACGGGGTACTAAAGGCAGCTTTTCCTTACTGCTCTGTCACAGCCGCAAGACATGTGAGTGGCCCGCTTCACCCAGCTATTTCCCCTGGTTTTCAGCCTTCTGCTTATTTGTAGGAGGATGTTTTGCTTTCACCACCAGGCACGTGCAGCATTCCTGCTGTTTTAGAGGACCAGCGTATCCCAAGCATCCTCCCATGAGCTGAAGGAGCGGTGCATGTCAGAGACCAGCGTGGGTGAAGGATGCTATGAGCATTCCCATGGGAGCTGGTGCATTTCGGGGCAGGTTGGGGTGTTGAGGATGGGCTGGCCTTGCTATGAGAGGTTTCCATTTTCCACCTTCCAGGCAATCGCCGAGGAAAGAGATTGTCTCATTTTTTCGTGTACGTATATCTCGTCTCATGGTTGCCGAGGCAACACTGTATATGTTTGCAGGCTGGAAGGATCTGGGGATGGAAAATGAAGCCAGGGAGTGGACCGAGGAGAAAAGTCCAGCAGGAATTTTCCTCTGGTCTTTTGCGGCCGATTGGTTCCCGCTAATTTAAGCCCCTCTCCTGGGATTAGTCATCAAATCTGAGATTTCCATTTTTATTATTTTAAATCAACCACGGCTGCTCCTGGGAGGCCGTTTTTCATGTTAGAAATTAACCTCGCTGAGATGCAGCTGGTGGGGGCTGCGGGAGGGGAGCCAGCAGTGGGGTAATACCATAGAAACACAAACAAGGTACAACAGCTCTGCTTCCAGCCCTGCCTCGGGACACCTGCGTTGTCCCACTCGTTGCCTGTGCTTGGTTTTAGGGTTCCCCTGGCTCGAGGCATTGCTGGGGTGAGCCTCATTTCTTTTCCTCTCAGCTTTAGGGTCATAGGGCTGCAGAGGTGATGGAGGAAGAGGGCATTCCCCACCAGTGTACAGGGACACGGTGATGTTCTTTGCACGCTTGGGGAGAGCACGGCGCAGTGCTCAGAGCAGCACACGCAGTGTTACAGCAGAGCGTTTTCAGCTGTTGGGAAAAAGGCTGTAAAACACAATTCCCACCATCAGCAGCCCTGTGGGCCCAGGGTACATCAAATCGGGTATTTTGCCTCTGGCAGCAACCAAAACCTGATGCGCCAGCAGATGGTGAACCCTCAACCTTTAATTGTTTAATGCCACAGCCAGCCAGGACATTTTTTGTGATCCCATTAATCTTTGCTGTGAAGGAAAGGCTGTTGGAACCACATCCATAGCTTGCAACCGCCTGGTTATTCCCATCATCTAAATAACCAGCTTTCTGTAGCTACCCCCCAATACTGCAGGTTAGCAGAAGAGAGGGAAAGATGCTGCCTGCAGCCTTTAAAACCCCCAAACTATCAGAAAAAAAAAGAGGTATAGCATGAGTCTCTGTATCTCAAATGGAGATGGGCAGCATCTCTGTGCTGCTTGCCTGCACCCCACCTGCTCTCCAGCTCCATCACATTCATACAAAGGGAAGGAAAGGAAGCATGGGAGGGAGGGGGAGAGGGTGTTTCTGGTATTGAGCAGCAGTGCAGGGCCATTTCTCTCGGCAGCTGACAGTGTAAATGCATTTCCTGGCAAGCTGCTCGCTCTGTATTAAAATTCTTGATGAAGATTATTAAAGTGTGTTTATGAAAAGCCTGCGAGTGCTTCTTGGACTCTGAGCTGGCTTTTCAAAATGAGATGTTTGGGTGCGGGCTGAGCGCTCGTGGGTTATTAAATCCAGCCTGCCCCAGCCCCAATGCACGGGGTGCAGCTGCCCATGCAGCCTGTGCAGCCCCTCACCATGCCCAAAGCATTGCTGCAAAGACACTTGGGCATGCTGCAAGATTGAAGGAAATGCTCATGACCCTCTGAACCCAGCTTGGGCTGCAGAGGTGTGATGGGAGATGTGGGGCCATGCTCCAGCCCCTCTGGGGACTATAGGGCTGGAGCAGTGAGCCCTGCTGTTTGTGCTGGCAGAGCTTTGGGAGATGTCTCTGCACTGGAGACAGAGCCCTCCAGTGCCACACACAGAACATCCCACCCACTGTGCCAGCAACTGTGCTGACACCTCGAGGTCCCCCAGCACCACGTAGCCACCTGCACTCTCTCCTGACCCAGTACAAAAAGCCCCTTGCACACGCACACATGCACAGATTCATGCACACCCACCTCCATGTAATCCCTTGCACACACGTGCAGATGCACACACAGCTTCATGCACACCCCTTGCACACATGCTTGTGCAAACTGCATGCACACCCTTGCACACGCACACACACACACCCATGCTGCATGCACACCCCATGCACACCACGAGCGCCCGGGGCAGCAGCTTTGGCCCGGGGCTTGGCTCACTTTCCTGCATGCTTTCCCCTTCCAGCTTCAAGCAGGATTTTTAACATGGGAGACCAGGTTGTATATCTAAATATATGTCCTTTAAAAAAAGACGTTTCCAAGAACAATGGTGGAAGCAACCCAAAAATGTGCTAAGGAGGACGAATGCATCAGGACTGGAGTCCAAGCAAAATATCGGAAGGGTGAATCAGAAAGGAGGAAAAAAAATAGGAACGTATGGAGTTTTTAAAAGTTATTTTTTTTTTTCCTTTTTAATGTTAATGGCAGTTTTTCAATTTGAGCTTCAAGTGCTGGAGAAATGTGTCAACTGCTGCTGCCCTGAGCCATATTTTGGAGGGGTGCAAAAGCATTGTTGTGGTGACAAGTTCAAGATGGTTTCAATCCAACCCCTTTTAGCCATTGCAAAAATGTCTTTGCTATTATTATTATTAATTGGGCTCATTAATTTGTGTCCTGCACTTTCCCTCAGCTCCTCTGTCTCTGTGCAGAGTGATTCCCCCGGTGGCGTTTGATTAGTGGGGCTAATTAGAGCCCACTTACACAGGTTGGTCTCAGCCACAGCTCCCCAGTCCCTGCCAACTGCAATTAGAAACAACTCATAGAATCACTCAGCTTGGAAAAGATTTCTCAGACCCCCAAACCCAACCCCAGCCCACCCCATGCCCACTGCCCACCTCCCTCAGTGCCACATCCCCACGGTGCTGGAACACCCCCATGGTCAGTGACCCACCACCCCCTGTGCAGCTGTGCCTGTTAATGGTGGGGAGTGATTTATGGCAGCTTCTCAAAGGGTGAAAACTGAGCTTTTCTTAAATCTCTCTATGGGGAAGTCAGGTATGCACCCATGGGGTGAGCAGATGGCACAAAACCAACATGAGTGATGGTGGAGTGATGAGGACAGGGACAGCCTGTGTCTTATGGGCATGGCACTGCTTTCAGGCTGCAGGGCAGGAGCACATCGTGGTGTATGGTCATGAGCACACCTCGGCTTTTGGGTTTGCTCCTTCCTTTAGGATTGGCTCGGCCCCTTTGTTTGCCTGGAGCTCTCTGAGCCCCGCTCCCATCTTAGTGGAGGTCGCAGCCTAAAGAGCCTAAAGAGGACTGATTGCAGAGGGTGGATGGAGAGACCATAAAATCAAAAAAAAAAAGCAATAAAATCTTGGATTTGATTGCACAAAACAGGAAGAAAATCCGTTCTCCAGGCCAATCAGGATGGCCCAGGCAGAGGTGGGATCACTCCCAAGTTCATACTTGGTGACTGCAGCATCCGTCAGGGCTACAGACAATCTGCGTCTCATTAATCATCCCATATAAACAGAGGGGGACTCTCTGGAGCAGAGCGGTGTCGCTGGATGAATGGCCTGCTCTTGGAAAATAAACATTTCCAACTCTGCCCCGGCGTTTATTTTTGCAGAATGCCTTTGCTGCGCTGCAGTGCTTTGCTGACAGCAGGACACGCACTGCCCTGGGACAGCCCAGACCCATCCCGGGAGGCCTGGAGTGATGCAGAGTGAGAAACACCCCCCATAGAATGGCATTTTTTGTACAGAAATTGGGAGTTTTCTTTTTTCCCGTCTACAAAAGGCTGCCAGGTGCAGGCTGGGATCCGCGCTCACCCAAACATGCCTTTAATTCTGATTTATTAAGATGGTTATTGTATAGATGATTAGAAACATATTCTGGGAGATTTAAGGGCCTCGGAGCAGACATGCAGCCATTACAGAGCTGTTAATCCTCTATAAATATGCTTTTAATCATGCCAGTATTTAACATTCGATAACTGTCCTATTAAATGTAACATATAGCTGGTGGCTTTGATATCAAGAATGACAAGCTGTTGCTCTCTCCCACAGGCTCACTGGCTTCTGCTGCTCAGGAAATACCCCCGAACCCACCTGTGGACGCTCACCCCAACCCTCACCCTCCCACCCCCAGGCTCTGGGTTGATGCTTGCACATTCCTGCACGAGGACCACCAGCAGGAGAGGGATTTGCTGCAGGCTGTGGCAGGTGAGTGCCTTTTCACAAGTGGGAGGGATCACCGAGCCCAACTCCTTTTATTGCTGCCTGCTTGTTCTTTGGCATCACTCAGTGCATCTGCTGCCTTTGCCCTGCAGAGCTGCATGCAGTTCTGACATCAGGAAGAGTAAATTCTATGACCAACCCATATCTTGGGACTTTTCTGGTGGACAGAAGGAAGCAAGCAAACCCCATACGCTCAGTTGGTTATGAATGACATAACTTGGGCAGGTTCCCATGTGTCTGTTCCCCACGGTGGGCAGGCTATGGGAGAAAGCAGGCTGTGTGTGTGAAAAAAAACAATAAATGTCACTCTGTGACACACACACTCATCCCATACGTCCCACAGTGCTTGGGGAAAAGGGTGGCTGCCCTTTGCTTTGCAAGAATCCCAGCATGAAATGATGTCTGTGGCACTGCTGGGCCCATGCCAAGGGCTGAGGTATCCCCGTCTGCCTCGGCTGTTGTGCTTCCTTTGTTGATGGTTCTGCAAATCGATGTTTTGTCCCCAACACCGCCCGGCTGTCCCTTGGCCGGGGCAGGACAAGGGGCCATTCTTCATGGAGAACAGTTGGGGATCTCATGGCAGGGTGGTTGGCCTCCAGCCATTGCCTCCCACCGCCCTCCACACCTCGGTCACAGCTGGGCCATGCCATCCACTGGGACCTGTGCCATCTATGGCAGGGGACAGGAGCAGCCAGCAGCAGCCAGGGGTGGCCCTGTGTTCACAGCGCATCGCTGGAGCACATGCAGCAGAAGGGCTCAGATGAGAGGGGTATGGAGATCTTAAGGTGCTTTCTTAGAATGGGTTCGTTTGCACATTTCTAGGAGGGGTGCAGGGCAGCAGAGTGCTGTGAGATGCACGGTGCTGTGTGATGCACGGTGCTCTGAGCTGCTGGCTCGCTGCCGACAGCACAAATGCAACAAATAAATGGCTCCCCCATCTCCTGCAAACCCAGGAGCAGCCCAAGAAGTGAAGGTTAAGGCCCCCGGTGCTCCCAGCTCCGTTTCCAGCACCTCACCTTGTGCCTCGGTGCCTCTCTGTGCGCTGAGCCAGGCAGGCACTTGGAGCAGGAGCTGTTTGCTTTGGCTCACAGCAGGCTTTGTGCAGCCGCCGGCCAGCTTTCCACAGCCCACCCTATGGACATCCCTCCCCGAGCACCTACCTGGGCCGCCGGCACCACCGCGTATTTTGGCTGTGCTGTGCTGTTTCTGTGCCGACCTCCCCCTGAAGGTGTCAGCCGGAGGGGCTGTGAGGACCTGCCACCCCCTGCCCATCTCTCTGTGAGCCATCATTTCCAGCCCTGCAATATTCCCTGCATCTTTTTGCATCATTCCCTGTGGGTTGGGAGTGTGGTGTAGCTCAGGATGCAGGAGGCTGTGTGAGCGAGGATGCTCAATGTGGAAAGAAAGGGGAAAATAAATCACAGCTGTGACTTTTAGCCCTTTGCAGTCCTCAGTGCTCAAAGTAATGCAGGATCTGAGAGAGGGCAGGGGCACGGCTTGGTGCTGCTGCTCACCTTCCCCAAGCACAATGCGTTCAGAATCCTGAATAGATGTTTTCATCACATCAAAACCTGCCTGCAAAATGCTGTCTGGCAGAACTCTATTCAGCTGGAAAAACACCGGCTCGCTCTCGCTTTGAGTTATCTCTATGGACCTCATACAAAGTCTCATTTATTCGCTCCCTTTTCGGATGGCCTCCACTTCTCCATCTCCAGGCGTTCACAAATCACGATTTGCATCTCCAGCATCAGCGCTCAGCAAGAACTCTCTATTTCATTTTGCTTCTGTTGCTGCCGTTTCTTCTGCCTTTTGATTCCCTCTTGGACGTCTTTGAGCTTTTTGCTGACTCTGAGAGCTAGAAAAATGCTTTTTTCTTTAGTGCTTCTGATGCTAATGAAATTTTTCAGCCCCAGCACATGAAATCAAGCAAGCATTTGGTGTCTGTCAGCTCCCAATGAACTTATCTGCACTGCAGTAGGGCTGGCTATGTTTAGGGCTATAACACAACAGCACGAAGTCATTGTTATCCTAGGACCATGCTGTGTTATTTCTGTCCATCCTGGTATCTGGGGGGAGCAGGGACACTTCTGGCCTCTCCAACTTAGTATTTTCCTGGGGGAAATCTGAGTGCAAACAGAGTAAGTCAGTACATCTATTTAGGGACATCTGGGGAGGTTCATTTTTTGCCGAGTGCAGAATTTGCTTTAACAGCTTTGTTCAGTTCTCACTGAGGTTAAATCTCTGCTAAAAGAGCAGTGCTGCATTGCACAGCTGCCCAGGGAGTGGGGGGTCACTGACCCTGGGGATGCTCCATAACCATGGGGATGTGGCACTGAGGAATGTGGGCATGGTGGGGCGGCTTGGGGTTGGACTCAGTGATGCTGGAGGCCTTTCCCAACCTTTACGATTCTATGGTTCTGTACTCCGTGTGCTGCTGCCTGCAAACCAGGCCTTGGGCTGCTTTGGGATGGGGCTGTCTCCATCAGTGCTGGGCACAGATTGCCTGCGTGGGGGCTGTCAGAATGGGAAACATTCCCTAGAAAACCCCTCCTGGCTGCAACTCCTCCTTACACCTCCTTCAGAGCCTCATACAGCTTCAGTCTGCTCCTAATGAAAGCAAGCCAAACCCTGCCTGCTTCCTACCACCCACAGGCAGTCAGTCCACCAGGCCCAATTCTGGCAAACTGGGCAGGGTTAAACCTACCCTCAGTGCTACCGGCCCCTATAAAGAGTCTGACAACAAACCACCCCAAAAGCATGAAGGACATCTGTCCTTCCCCAGCATCTCCACCCTTCTGGTGCTCCCTGACACCAACAGATGGAGGTGGCCAAGGAAGGCCACAAAGTTACTTCATCCCTCAATCATTTTCCCCCCTTTGCCTTCGTTAAACTGCAGTGCACCCTTCAGTGTGAGGAAATGGCATCCACGTTCCTCTTTTACTGCTCGCAACTATTCGGTGATTAAGAAAATGGGGGAGCTGGGGGCACTCATTCTTGACCTCGGGGAAGGCAGGAGGCTTATAAAAGCTCTAAGTGCTGCAGAAATTATGAGGCAATTAAAAATCAGGGCCAGAGCTGGGCCTGGGACAATAAAAACGAGAGGAACTGATGTCAGCCCCGTGCAGGGCGTGGGGAACCACGACCTGTTCAGCCCCAACTGGAAATGCAGGAGCATTCATCTCAGAGTTTAGCAAAGCTGAGCTTGGGTTTCTCGAGCTTCCAAGAGCCAATGAACCCAAAAATCAATGGAGATGTCAGTGCAGATTAGAAGGGTGCGTTTTCTAATTGCAGCTCTCGTTTTTTTTTTGGATCTGGGTGTTTCCAAGAGCAGGAACTGATGTCCTCAGGTGAGGCTATGTCAGATCCAGTGGTGGAGACCCCATCCCTGCAGGGGTTCAATAAGGGGATGGATGTGGTACTGAGAGACGTGGACAGTGGGCATGGCAGGGATGGGTTAATGGTTGGAGATGAACCCAGTGGTCTTTTCCAATCTTAATGATCCTGTTCTTTTCTGTGACCAGTGGTTGGGTTTTTCCTTCAGGTGTCAATGACTTCTTGTGCAAACTTCTTGTGTTCAAGTGCGTGGTGGCAGGGAGCGAATGCTGCTCTCTGCATCCTCTTAGGAAAGTCCCAGAAAGTGTCACCTGGCTCTTAGATCATGCTGAGAACATTTGCCCACGTCCTCTGACCAGCTGTAAAACAGGAAAGGACCAAAAAAGGAGAGTTTTTCAGTCTGCATTCACTAAGCTCTCACCCTGCAGGTTTGCTCAAGTTTGGTCATGTGTTTGCTTGTCTGTACTGGAGTGCTGGCAGGATGAGAGCAATGTGGGTCTATTTCCTTGGCACGGAAAGGACCCAGAACAGAACCCAGCTCTGGCCCAAATGTCCCAAAAGGGTCCTGGCCACTGTGAGCAGCTCCAGTTGGAAGCAAACTCCCAAAACCAGGTGGGTGAAGCCGAGAACAGGCACAGCTCATTGCACATAAATGATGGCGTTCTCACATCCTCCCACAGCATCCACTGCACTGATCATTTGTGTAATGAGTGCTGGCATTTCCCCAACCACATCCACAGCAGCACAGACCAGGAACCCCATTCTCCATCTCAGCAGGATAAACAGCGACCACAGAGACATTTTGCAATGCCTTGCAGCGTTTCAAAACGTGCTCTGTGTGTCACAGTGGGGTGGAAATATTTCTGTGGCAGAACTGCATTGCAGCATCTGCACTCAAGGGAAGAGGGCTGGGGCTGCCTGGGGGCGTGCTGTGTGTCAGAGCAGCACACAGCTGGCTGGAAATTTGGTGAAGCATCGCATTTTGGGGGGTGTTGGTGCTTTTTTAGTGGGGCAGCTGTGCCATGGCAGGGCTGGGAGCTGAGCCTCAGTTCCTGACTGCCACCCATTGTTGTTCCTCTTTCCCGTGCACTCATTTGCAAGGGATGCTGGCACAGGCAGCCTTGGCTGCAGCATGGACACATGGCAGTGCCTGCACCAGCAAAACCCAAACATGCAAGTGGGAACCACAGGCAGCCCACACCCAAATGGGCCTGCAGGGGCCCTTTTTGGTGTGGAAGCACTCTGCAATATGGTAGCCCCAATGCACGGCCCCTCCACTGCCAGCCCCTCGCCCCAGGCTCTTGCAGCTCTGTTTTTACGGGCAGCTCGTTAGCTTCCCTGCTCACTCAGTTTATGTTTGCTGGCTCTCGCTGGCGTTTCCCTCCCTGTAAAACAAGAATGCACAAACACGGGGAGAGGGGTCCCAGCAAGGAGGGTGCACATGGGAAGCAGTGGGTCTGGGTTACCCCTGGGGCTGGGAGAGGATGACAGGGATTTACCCGATCTCCTCACTGCCTTTAGCCCTTCCCACTCACCAGATACTCTGCTTCTCTCCTGTTTCAAAGGCTGCATTAAAATCCCAGGCCCTACTGAGAGTGGTGTGGCTGAAGGTATGAAATCCAGCCTCGCTGCTTTGTTTCCTGAATGATTTT